CAAATCTATCCTTAAACTTTCCTTGAGTTCATTGACAGAAGTGCTAGGTGGCACGTTCGGCTGCCATTAAATGACTTAATTTAATAAATAAATAATTTAGTAATTTTTGTGTTTTTTTTATTTATTATTTTTAAATACTTTTTGATAAATCATCCAATTATTATCCCTCACTTTAATTTCAATTTAATTTAATTTGTTAATTTTTTATTAGTATTTTATTTAATTTAATCAAATTAATCTTTAATTATTGCTTAATTTCATTACAAATTTTGATTGATATATTTTTATAAAATATTTCGTAAATAATTATATTTAGTTTCTTAAAACTTAAAAAATTAAAACTTTTGATTAAATTTTTGTTACCTTTCGCTTTAAATTTTTTGACAGAAATTTCAAGAGTATTTTAATAATAGTAATAATAATAATACTAATAATAATAAACAAAATTGTGTAGGGCAATTTTTTTTTTTTTAACATAGGGGAATTTGAAAGAGGGAGAATTTTTTTTTCAAATAATTAATAAAAGTTAAATTCTCGACTAATTACACTCAAACACTTTAAATTTAAAGATAAAGAGTTAATTTGGGGTAGTGTTTGGACTCACAATTTTATAGCTCTTAATTCTTCTCTTAGCATTGAAGTACTACCTATATACTCTGTGCATATATATATATATATATATATGTTGATTTCATCTCATTCATTATTAGCACAATACGACATCGTGTAATCTTCCTCGCCAAATCTGCACAAGTCGCCGACCCCAACACAATTCCACCCCCCCGGGAAGAAAAGAAACAGTATTTCGACTTTCGACTTTCGACCATGGCTGCCGAGGAGCCGGCGAAGCTGTTGCTGCCGTACCTGCAACGAGCCGATGAGCTTCAGAAACACGAGCCCCTCGTCGCTTATTACTGTATGTAACTTTGTTTTACGAAGTCCTAGACTTTTCTCCCTCCCCCCGCCACCTCCCTTTTGAGTAATTTTGATTTGGGTGGTGTCTTTGAAGGTCGACTATATGCGATGGAGCGAGGATTGAAGATACCCAATGGAGAACGAACCAAAACCACCAGTGCCCTTCTTGTCTCTCTCATGAATCAGCTTGAGAAGGTTTGTTTTAGATTATAATATTTTCTAGTTTGTTTTGGTGATGATGATTAATATAGTTCTGGATTGGATTTTTACAATTCTCAAAGTTTAGTTTTGTTTGTGCAACTGGTTAATTAACTGGGTTGTGGCAGTGGCACTGTGGCTTGATTTTCTAGAATAACAGATATAAATTGAATGATTTTATTGCATTGTGTATTTGCACTAGTATTCATGCACCAGGCAGCTTTTCTATTAAATTTCCTGGTTGCTTAATCTTAGAGTGCAAAAACAAGTGCTGGGATCCGCTTTGCAGCTTAAATTATACTGAGTTTCTGCTGCCTGTAATGCCCTCACAGTCTATTTTGAGGTTTTCTTCAATTAAGTTATATTTCTGCTACCTGTAATGATACTTTAGTTATATTTCTTCTCAGAGTAAAGTCCTCCTATCTTGTTGTTTTGGAATTCAAGCTAGATATGCATCCCTTTTTCGATGAAATCCTAACAGTAGCAGTAGAATTGAGATCAGAGTGGCAAATAACAGTGGCAGAGCATTTTTAACCTTTTAGTGTTCGGGATTATTTTTGCTCACCATTAATATATATTGTACCATATGCATAGCCTTTGTGTAACCACGACTATATTCTATTCCAAATACTTAAACTGATATTGGTGTTTTACAGGATAAAAAGTCACTGAAGTTGGGACCTGAAGATAATCTGCATCTGGAGGGATTTGCCTTGAATGTGTTTGCAAAGGCAGACAAGCAAGATCGTGCTGGACGAGCAGACTTGTAAGGAAACCTTCTTGCTGCTATGTGGGGGCTGTATTAAATTATTAATTGATTTCTTATGCTCATGGCTTGAAGCTTAACTTTTCTGAGTAGGAGGCAGTCATGGAGCTCCCATTTAATACTATGTCTGCCTTTCTGATTTGTAGAGTTGTATGATATAGGTTTTAACAACAATGATTTTCTGAAAAAGCTAAGCTACATGCTCTATGTTTTATGGACTAGTTAAGATTTACAAACATCTTGTATTTTACAGCAGCAAATTGTGGGTGATCATATAAATTATGCAGAGTTTGTTATTTTCAATGTTATATTTGTTTCCTTTTGACTGGTAGTTGGAATTAACGTGTTCATCCTGGTACAGGAATACGGCAAAAACATTTTATGCTGCTAGCATTTTCTTTGAGATTCTAAATCAGTTTGGTCCCCTTCAGCCTGATGTAAGTTTCTACCTGTTATGCTTATAACCACAATAACTTGTTATTTAACTTGCAATCATTTTATGTTTTAGAGAATCTGGTGTAAAATCTTTTGAGTGTCCATGCAGAGTTGTATTATAACTCTTGGCCAGCTTTAATGGTAGTCTTAACTTCTTATAGCTTTCTTGTATAGCTTGAGCAGAAACAGAAGTATGCAGTCTGGAAAGCTGCTGATATAAAGAAGGCTTTGAGTGAAGGAAGGAAACCCACCCCAGGCCCACCAGCTGGTGATGAAGATTTATCAGTTCTATCAAGTACACCTAGTGGTACATATGTATGTTTCTGAACTCAACAGTAGTATTGCCTTAATGTCAAACCCAGTCTTCCTATTTCCTCATCCAATTCTTGTAGGGATAATAATTAGATCAGTCGAAGGAAAAATAGCAGCATTTAGAATTCAGTTAGAGATGGATGCAGTGTAAACAAAATAGAAGAGTTTTAGCTTGTAGGTTTGTAAAGTGACAAACATCAGTATGATGAAAGAAAACATGTTAAACTTCTAATCAGTGGAAAAAAGGTTGACTTCGGTTTTTATTTTTACTATTGATGAAGGTTTTATATTGTATCTTTTGACTGGTTTTTACTCAAGGGCTTAGAAATTGTGGACGAGCTTCAATAGCCCAAACTTAATCTTCTGCAATAAACCTATTAGGCCTAAGTGTGAAACTATTAGTTTACACTGTTCATTGAATTCTCTTCTTTCGCCTTATGCTGGTTTATCTGCATAGAGTAGAAGTCATTAATGGATCTTCATGTATGTCATCCTTACAGGATCTTGGACCAAGTGAACCTGCTGTTACTAGTCCTAAGCCAGCATCTGACCAATCACCTCAATTGCAAGACCGAGTTAGTGACCAGCATCATACTAACATTGCACCTTTGCCACAGTTCCATGATGTGGTTGATAGCCAGCAGTTTTTGAATGTTCCACCATCAACTCATTCCTATCCATCAGCCAGTTACCCTTCTCATGATTCTTATCCGCCTCCTTCAACAAATATGTCAGAAAATTCTTCATATCTTCAGCCATACCACCATCAATCTTATCCACAAGAACCTCAACAGCACTTGCCTCATATCTACCCATCTCATGAAGCTCCCGTGTACTCTTACCCTAATTTCCAGTCTTATCCAAGTTTCACTGAGAGTAATGTACCATCTGTGCCATCTCATTATCCTTCTCACTATCAAGGCTCTGATACTTCGTACTCTGCTCCTGTCCAGTCAGCTCCTCCTACAGCAAGCTACCCCTCAACTTCCCAATACTCTTCAAGTGGCAGAAATGGGGCCATCTCAGATCCTGATCCTGCACCAACTCCAGCTCAGAAATACCAATACGATAGCAGTTACCAGCCACCAACTGAAAAAATTGCTGAGGCACACAAGGCTGCTAGGTTTGCTGTTGGAGCATTGGCCTTCGATGATGTATCAGTTGCAGTCGACCACTTAAAGAAGTCACTTGAATTGCTGACCAAACCATCAGCTGGTCAGTAGTTTTTTATGCTTGAGCTGGAGCTGTTTGGGTGTCCTAATTTCTTCAAATCTCATAGTCACGCTTTTCTATCTTTAACATATTTTGACTGAGAGATTGATATAATTTCCATGATTCTCAGGCTTCCCATGTCTTTGGTTTTATTTTTGAGGTCAAGTTATTTTAATACAGTGACCTAGATGCTAATAAAGCAAATCTTGCTGTAGAGATACTTGTAACTTTTAATTTAATATATAAAGTAGTAGCAAAACCAACAACCACTTGGTATGGTCAAAGAAATAAAAGGTGGAGGCATGCAATTGCAAATTGGTCTAAAAGTACTTTTGAAAGGATAGACAACTTTTCTAAGTCCATAACTGAAAAAACCACCATTGAAATTCACCTCAGAATTTTAGGAAAAGAAAGGCAGAAGGTCAAAGAATGCCTTTAAAATCAAACTTATAAATAATTCACAAATTTTTAGGTCCAAAAGGCAAAAGCAATCCCCCCTCTAATTAATAAAGCTAGAAAGGAAAACCAAATGAAGATGGTTCTTTAAAAAAGAAAAAAAAAAGGTTGCAACTTTATTTACTTAGTTTGGATTAAGGGAACACAACAGTCTCAACCATTCTAGACTATATATAACACAAAAACACACCAAATAAACTAGAACAAAAGTTATAAAAAGAGAGCAAGAGAAAGCCCTTTTCCCTCCCTTTTCTGTGCTTCCCCCCATTATTTCAATTGTTGTGGGAAAATGGAAAAAGAAAAGAGAGGCAAAAGAAAAAGCCTTTTTCTCCTTTTCATTACTTTAACTAAGCAAAAGAAAGAGATGCAACTATGTGAAAAAACTGCAACTGCTCTAGTAGCTCTTTAGCATGGGACATGCCTCGGCGCTCCACCCTCATGAACAGCTCTTCACTCAGCTTGTCGCCAATATGAGCATCAACCAGGACTCCAGCCACACTCCGGCAGCTGTTGGCTAGGGCTTGGCCAACCTCTGTCGCATCATCTGGCCGGTTCACCACTAAAGGGCTACCCCCCTTGAATAACTCAAGCCTGTCTATGACAAATGAACCATCAGCTTCTACCACTTCTCTAAAGTCCTGGAGGCTTGCTGCATACACTGGAATGTTGAAGCTATCGCGCTTTTCGCTACTAATAAGTCCCTGCAAAAAAAACACTCTAACTATATAAAAAGTATTTTGTATCATCCATATTAACCAATGTATTATTGTTTGGTACGATTAGATCATACCTATATAATATGGCATAACTTTTTTTTAATTCATTTTCACCCATCATGGGACTAAAAAAATATAATATTAAATAAATTTATGTTAATTACAATGATTGGTGATTCAAAATTTTGTAATAAATTTTTTATTTTATAATTTAAATTATATTAAACTATAAAATAAAAGTTATTGTCCAGCACTTCAGAACTTACTGACCCCTCTTTGCAAGACGTGCTTAGGATTATCAAGATCCAGATTCTAATCCCAAATCCCCTTTCCTTTTTCTTTGAAAAAAATTTTCATTGTTCAAAAAAAAAATTAAAATTAATTAAATAAAAAAATAACTATTAATACTAAAGAATCCAACTTATTTAACAATTATAATTATATAATCTAAACTATTTTAAATTACAACATTCTTTTTCTTTAGATAATAACTAATCTTGTTTTATATTTCCTATAAAAAAAATTTGTTTTATGTATATTTAAAATATATTATTTTGACTTTAAATTAAGAACTCTTGTGGGCCTACAAGACCTATCCTAATTCCGGTTCAAACTGGCTTTACTAGCCCACCATACTTTGACATAACAAAAAGTAAAGTGTTGGGGCAACTAAGTGCACATGGGTCTATACTACTTAGCATTTTAAAAAACCAAAAAGAATTCGGTCCTAGATTTTGTAATGAAGATTGAAAAATTGGTGCTCCTGCTTTCTATTATGAAACCTATACTCCTAGTACCACTAAGGAAAACCTTTGTCGTCTTGCAAACTAGTGGTATGATTGTGTATTCTCATCATCAATCATTCAAAATTATCCACTTTGTAGGGAAGGAGGTATATAAATGGCCCACGATTAAGAGTTAATCATGTTGCCGACAATAAATGGACGGTCATGATCAACTTCTCAAAGGGGATCAGACGGCTACAGTTAAAGTGGGCTAATCACGACCAGTTACAATTCATAATGAGCCCAACACACTTAATCATACCCTCTTCCCTGTATGGTGTTTTCTTGCTTTTTGGTCCGCCAAATATACAGAGAAATGGATACCCTTTTGGAAGGCACACTATTCAAAGTTTCACTTGCATGCAAATTAAAAATTGGTAACATGATATAATTACCTCCTGGACAAGATCATCCCAAGCATCCTGAAAGTGGGTCCCGAAGAGGAGTCCTGCCCCACCTTGGTCTGTGGGCTCCACTGAGGTCCTTCCCAAGCAGACCAGGAACATGGACCCACCTTTCTTCATCTCTGTGGATCTTGCTCTCATGAACCCTGCCAAGTCTGCTTGGAACTGTTTCTTGTATGCAGTTGCTGTGGTTTCGTTTGCACCGTGGATGAACACCCTCCCTTTATTGTACGCCGTTGATCTCTTGTCTGTTACACTTTCTGGCACCTAGGTGGGTTCCCATCAAGATATAACTTTTTTGATTAATTTTAGTATATTTATATATATTTTTAAAAATATATAAATTACATGGGACTGGACACATTGGATTTGAGTAATACGTTATACCTGCGATATCCAATGCAAGGAAAATGCTGAATGGAAAAGGTTAACAGATCTTGCGGGGAAAAGGCGTCGGTGAAACGATCCGGGGACGCCGGCAGCAAAATAGGATCGGTGAGAATTTGCAGCCAAGCACTCTTCCATGCTGCTTTTGGCAAACATGGGAGGGAGGAGCTGGAAGAGAGTGTTGAAGTCATTGCTTGGGAGGTCGGAAAAGAAAGCGGAGAACTCCGGGAGCTCGCATCCCGATGATTCGTATCTCTTGGTAATGTGTTGCACGATCACATCGATGGTGTTGATTGTGTTATCACCGGAGGAGCACCCCAAGTCCACAACGACGAAGGGAAGCTCAGGGGAGGTCAGGTGGACGCGATCTAGAGTGTCCCTGAGAAGGTGAAGCATGGAACGAGCATGTGAAGCCTGCATGTAAAAAAAAAAAAAACAGTTAATTAGCTAGGTTCCCTTAACCTCCTCAAAAACAGATGTGAAAGAAAAGAAATTTTAGGAAATGAAACTTCAAGATGTTGATATGCAGATTTCTCATGAATTCCCTAATCTTGATTATCACAGATGATTGTTTAAAAGAAAAAAAGAAAAGTAAAAAGAAAAAAAGGAAGAATGAAGGATCTGTTGGAGACCTGAGCTTGGGAGTTACTGGCGTAGCTGGCTTCGCCTTTGCCACCCTTCATGCATAGAAGCCTTTCAAGGTTAGTGTTAGAGACAACAACGTTGTGTCTGGGACTTGTAGCCATTTTTTTTTTTGTTGTGCTTTGTTGGAAGAGAAGAGTGGAGTGTATATAGATGGCCATTTGACGTGCAAAATATATAAATATATATAGATGGCCGGCTAGGAAGGTTTTTTTTTGCTTTGTACTCTAGTTAGGGTACAAAAGGAAAGGTATTATTAGGCTATTTTCTTATAAACACTATAAATTTGATACCATGATGGTAAATATTAAAAAATAATAAATACTATATATATATATTTGTAGAGATTAGAGAAAAATAAATATGAAGGAAAAGTTTCAAAATAGTAAAAATTAAAAAAGAAGGGGAAAATCTTGGAGGGAAAAGATGACGGCTAAATTGTTGATTTTGGTAAGGGTGCTTAGGCTATGCAACAACCAAAAAAGGAAAGGATAGGGGAATTATGAGGAATAAAAATTGAAAATATGTAACCCTAAATTGTTATTGAGGGTTAGATTAGTCATATGAAAAAGAAAAAGAGTAAGAAAGAATTATTTAATTTAAATTAAATTAGTACTATCTTAGTTTTAATTTAAGGAAAAAATACCATTTGGATACTTTTATTAATTTAAATTCTAGCTAGGACACATGTTAGAAAATCTATACATAATTAGTACTATTAATTATTTTGGTTTTTTACTAAATTATCTAATCTAATAATATGGATTTTCTATGTGTCCTAACATTTAATGATAAAGTATCCAAATGATATTTTTCCTTAAATTCAAAGATATTTTAATTAAATATTTCACATTAAAAACTTCATATTATTATTAGCATTAAGTAGCAAAATGATTTGAATAAATTGTCTTAAAAGTAAAAATCATGAAGGCCAACTTTAGTCTAAAAAAAACCAGCATAAACAGTCCTTTTGCCAAAAACACAATGATTAAAAGAAATTAACAACAATAGTAGGAGTATAATGTATATGTATATATACAAACATACATATATATATATATATATATGGAAATAGGGCACATCAGTCTTGACTTCTAAAATACATTAAAATCTCATCCTTAAATTATGCTATTTTATTTAATTAAAATTTAATTCAAAATTTAAAAATTTATTTTATTAAATGTTAATACTTAAATTTAAAAACTGATTATATTAAAATATATAATTACTTTCTAAATTTAAGTATCAACATTTAATAAGGTAAATTTTTGAATTTTAAATTCAAAATTTTGATTTCTAAATATAAGTTAAAATTTTGATTCTTTAAAAAGTCAAAATTAATAAATATATATTAACACACATATATATTTGAACTTTTTGTTAAACTAATTAAACCTAATAACCTAATTAAATTTCGGCGGATTAGCCGTCATAATCTAATTCCAAAAACGTAACTTATGGGGAAAATTATTGGCTAATAATATATCTAAAGAAACAATTATGTTTTCTTAATGAGATACGTACTCCCTCCTATCAAAATAGCTATTCTTTTTATTATTTTGTTTACACAACTTCCAAGCTAATCAATTGTTGTTTGTTTAAATTTTAAGAGAAATAAATATAGTAATAATTTTTTTTTTCTTTATTAACCCTATAGTTATCTCTCTAACTTTAAAAGCACTACACCCCATCACTAAAATTATTTATTTATCTTAACCTCTTTTTTAAAAATAATTTAGGTAAATACTTAAATTATGTTTAAATTCTTAATACGTGAAAAAAATAAAAAATTGACAATTATTTTAGAATGAAAGGAATATAATTTTCACTGTTATACATCGATCTTCAATTAAATAATTAGGTAAAACAACTTTTTTTTCTCCCTACCTAATGTAAGGAGTAAGGACTTTTTTTGGTCAACCTAATATCTACTATATTAAAGTCGAATAATGATGATCGATTATTATTCTTAACCAATAACCATACCATATTAAATAAACCATCACCCATAAATCAGGGCTCTCAATTAGTACCTAACCATTTTAAAACAACTATACCAATTACTTACCACTATTTGATGGATTAAACTTTTAAAACCTTATGAAGACCATCATATATAATAGCGTTTATTGAAGGAAGCATGTTTAGTCTAATTGGTATCACTAATTATAAACAAAATTAATTCATTAACAACAATTGTCGATAGTAATAACACGACAGTCATTTTTCTTATTTACTTAATAGTAAGCGCCTAGTGAGAATCAAAATATATTTACTCATTTGATGTTATATGATTGTTGCCAATAAATTATTAATGAATCATGGTCATTTACCTTATCATCAAGAATTGATTTCTGATAATCATGTAAGATAATATAATATAAACAAAGATTACCGAAAGCTTTTGATGAATGGAAATGTAAAATTGGGAAAACTTTGACACAGAGATTGAAGACCCACTTTTCTTTAGTCCAACACAACCCAAAAAGACAAAGGAATATTATTCTCTTGCTTACACCTTCATGACCACTACATGCCTCTCCTTTTGCATTGATCTTCTCAAAGTCCACACCCACCGTGATCGTCGCCGGCTTACATGAAACAATGCCGGACTATTTTCTTCTCCTTCGGTTATAGATTTTAATTAAAAAATTGCAAATCATTTGTGCCCAGTCGGTTACGAACCCATTAGTTTTCAAAAGTTAAATTTGTGCAATAACTTTGTGTCAGTTACAAACCATTAGTTTTCAAAAGTTAAATTTGTGCAATAACTTTGTGTCAGTTACAAACCCATGCGGCCATGCCTGTTTTAAGAATGGATTTGTGCGTTTCTTTCTTAAAGAAAAACAAAAATCAAATTCAAATGTTGAAACCGGCAACATTAATTCGTAACTAATAACATTATGCAAATCACTCATGAGCTTCCAAATTTGTTTTACTCATCAGTTTCAATTTTTTTTTGTAACGGACGAATGCCATTTTAAATTCCAACGGTTTCTCATTTTAATTTACTCTGGTTATGTTGTGTGAAGGCAATCTCCATTTCTACAAAAAGACTGATGCAATTTTTATAATCTGCACTTTATTTCACTCACATAGTATTCAAACTCTCTTTGAAAAGAAGCAGATGGTGGGGTGGAGCTTTTTTTATAATTGTGCAATACTTATAAAGATACAACGAGGAAATATTGGACTATTGTATTATAAGAATGACGTAATTATAAAAAACTGTTGCACCAATGACTCAAAATGTCTTAAATTCCAAGTCTTCATTATTTTAGTGACATCTTTTTATTTTTCATCTTTAATTAATTTCTTTTACTAATCTATTGTCTACTTTATTTTTCTATTTTAATTTACGAGGAACAACACCTACTCCTCCTTCATCTTCAACGTCCAAACTGACCTACACCATATAGGTTTTGCTTGCTTTCTACTATAATCCAAAACCCATGCAAAGAGTTAATGGCAGCAACGTGCATCGATCCTCTCCTTTTTACTTTCTTTTCATTTACAAATTCGGTGGGGTTTTTTTTTTGGCCCCATCTTAGAAAATTTGTTCTTGTGATTCAAAAAGGTCAACTTGATTTTAATTACTTTCCCTTTTATCATTTAGCTGATTAAAAAAAAAAAATTGTCCTTTTGATTATATTGATTGGCATTGAACTAAGGAGATTTCTATCTCCTTGCCTTCTTTAATCAACGTCCGATTTGCACTATTTGTCTCATATCATGGTGAGTGGACGTTTGTCTATTTTAGTCCTTCGCAAATCGTTATTCTTTTTTTCTTATAAAAGGGGCTTTAGCAAGGGAAATAACTTTCTTTAAAAAAAAAAATAATATTAGGTTGCTTAATGAAAAATAACTTTATATTATCTTTTAACCAATTACATCACTATATGTTATGTAATTTGAATTTAAAATCTTATATTTTTTATCAAATATCATTAAACCATTTAAGTTATTGTCAATTACTAATTTTTTGGGAAAAATATACATATCATTCTCAATATTTAAAATAAATTAGAGTTACAATTTTAAATTACATTGTTTTATTCAATTAAAATTTAATTTAAAATTTAAAAATTTATATTATCAAATATTGATATTTAGATTTGAAAACTAATTATATTAGAATACGAAAATGATTTATATACACTCGATTTAACGTATTTTTTGATATACTTCTGGTTCAACCATTAAAAATATCATATAAATACAATCAATTTAGTTAATTTTTATATTTTGTGTATATGATTGTATTTTTAAATTTACCCATCTTTAATTTCAGATCAAGAAATTTTGATTTTTTAATAAATGTATTGTGCAATGTGTTCAATCGGAATGTATATCAATCACTGTCCATTAGAATATATACTCAGTTTCCAACTTTACTAATCGACATCTAATAGTGTAAATTTTTGAATTTTAAATTAGGATTTTAGTTTCTAAACATACTTTGAAACTTTAATTTTTTTAAAAATTGAAACTAATACATACTAATTTTATTTTTTAACAATAAATTAAAAGTTTAGAGCAAGAGGAGAAATTGAAGACCTATATAGTAAAATTTATGGATTACATATCTTCAAGCAAATGAGAATTACATCAACGACTTATTGATCCGAGTGGAAGAAATTCAATTCTCAATAAATAAAATCTTAAGTTTGAATTTTTTAAATGAAAAAATAAGTGCTGGAAGAGTTTTTTCTTTTATGAGGTCTAACACAATTTGATTTCAAATTGATCAAGACATATCGTAGCTTTCGGATATTAGAAAAAAAAAAAAAAGAAACCAATGAGAACTACAGTCAGAGCATATATCAACTGAGTCAATAATCGTGGATTAACGGAAATAACCAGTTAAATATTAGTCATGAGTCACGACGCACAACTCACAAGTATCTACTTCCTAATTAACATGTCCCCAAAAATGAAAAATAATAATAATAATAATGTGATAATTCTTTCCCACGTACATGTAAACCGGTAGGCTAGCTCAAATGGTTAAAAAAAGGTTGAGTGAACGTACATCACTTTGGCCTGTACATAAATTTGAATTATCTCCCCAATTCATGACAGAACATGGTGAAGAAACCAGCAGCTACAAAGTTTAGGGGACAAGAGACTGGACCACCGCCTCCTGAAACTTTAGACAATGCAAGGAATGAGAGCAGCTTATATACCAAATTTCTTTACCATAATGGTTTTTTTTTTTTTTTATTAAATTTAAGGGAATAATTAGGTAAGTAATTTACTCTATTTGTTTGTTTGACCTAACTTTTTTAAAAAATTCTTTTGTTGTTTTATAAACAAAATTTTTTTTAATACTATTTTTGACTTATAAAAAATAAATCTTTTCCGTTAAGAATTTCGTATTTTGAATTGGTCATTTTTATTAATTTTATAGAATTTGTATTTTTTAAAATAAATCATAATTTAACACTTGTACAAAATTTCTACATTAATTAGTTAAAAAATCTTACTTTTTATTTCCTTCAAACAAACATACAATTACTAACATATACTAAAGGTGGATATAAAAAGGAAAGATCACTTTGATTTCGAAATGGATTTCTGTGTATTTGTGTATGTAAAGTTTAGATACAAAGACGACCCTCTCCATCTCCTATGGCAGTTATATATGTAAATGTTAGGCAGATGTTTAGATTATATATAAATTAAATTGCAACTAAATAAATTTGCAAATATATATGGTCCTGGTGCTGCACAGGAAAGTGTAAATACTGTACACCTTATCCAAAGCATATGATTTTGCTGCAGCAGCAAGGAACAGCCTACCCTCCTATGAATCATTCGTCAAGTAATTGTTTGGTTTTGGATTTATCAGACAGATTCAAACACCCAGTTGGCTTCTGCAACGACAAAATCAATCCATAGTCAATACACGCAGAGGAGAAGTAACTTTCACCGTGGCTTGTAGTGACATACACATGATTAATAATTTATACGAAATTCGATGTGTATTTGTTTTGGAAAATGATTTGTGTATACTCGGTTCAATACATTTTTTAATATATTTTTTATTTAATTATTAAAAATATAATATAAATACAATTATTTCAGTCGGTTCTTGTATCGTATATACATGATTGTATTTTTAAACTTGTCTGTTTTTAATTTCAAATAAAAAAATAGTGATTTTTTAATGAATATATTATGCAGTGTGTTAAATCAAAGTGTATATCAATCATTGTTCATTTGTCTTTTAGAAAAATGGAGTGGAGATCCAAAAATTGAGGGATTGATGCAAATGCATGAATAAGAAGCAAGGAGAAGAAAATGTTATACATGTAGGTGCTATTAATTGCAGCCCTTGAGATAACTGTATTGGGAAATGGTAGATATTAGTAGAAGAATTGCATGAAATTTAGGGGTTTACTTCTAGATTTTGAGGAAAAGCCAACATTTTCTCACCAAGGGTGTGTTTGGGGATTGCTAGGACGTACTGTAATTGTAGTAATAATCGTGGTTGTACTGGATTGTATTATAATTATAATTGAAAATTATTTTGTTGTTTGATTATTTATTTTTTAAAAGCATTATTAATGAAATATAATAAAATTTATTAATTATTAATTAAAATTTTAAAAATATTATATGATGTATAATTATTAAAATTGATAACATTTATTATTTTTTAAAAATTTATGCTTTTTAGGTTTTTTTATATTGAATTTATTTTTTTATTTCACGAGAGCACTCATAAGAAAAGAATAAATTTTTAATTTTTTATGAAATCTTTAAATAAATAAAAAGTTAAATTTAAATAAAATATTATAAATCATAATATAATTGAATTAAATGAGGTTAAATTTTAATGTGTAATTTTATAATTATATTAAATATTAAGTATTATCCATAAAACTCATAATTAGAAAACTTTAAAATGAAACTTTTAACTTTTTATAAAAAAATTGTTATAGATTTGTTATAACATTTTACAATTTTTTTAAAAAAAAATGATATATACATCTTATAAAATTATACATACTGATATACACTAACAGTTTTCATTACACACTAATACAAACTAACCTTAAAGGTTGTGTATCATTATCCTTTTTAAAAAAAGTAACCTAAAAAAAATTATTATATATACATATATTTAAAAACACTTTATAACTAAAAAAAAAAACTCTCAAACCACGAATACCAAATGCACCCTTTATCTTTCCTGCTGTAAGTATTCCCGACAAGTTACTTCAATGTTCATTCATTCTGCCATTCTCATATGAATCAGTGCTCCGAAGTAAAACATGAGCCCGAGACGAATCTTTACAACAATGTCTTGGCTCATTAGACAACATAACCGACACATAATGCTTGAAAAAGAAAGCAACAACATCCATACTATAAGTCGACACATTAATAATGCAACAGAATACATAAGGTTTGAAGAAGGGAGAAGGCACAGCAAATTTTGATTTAATTGCTATAAGAAAAAGAGATTATACAAAATCACGACTACAGACTACCGTGTTTGGATATGTTACAAGTCATGAATGAGTATCAGTGGTCCAAACTCCAATGTTTACTTGGTTAAAAGACACAGGAAGAGCAAACACATTAGATATGTTGGTACCTGATGAAGAAGAGCAAGCCAACCACGTTGCTGAAAAAGGCGATACCCTGTCAACTAAAGAGGGTGCAGAATGATATTAACCTGAGACAGGCTGAAAACTTCCTTTTGGCTCATCATAAAGCCATCTGCAACATAAATTGTTCCATAATGAAACAAATGTCAACTAAATTTATCATCTAATAAAAATTAAAATATTCTAAAGAAACACTGAGTTTTCTCCATAACAAGAATAAAAACATACTCCTGTGTAGCCTGCCTTAGTCACTAGTACAAAACAAATTAACAAACCAACATCATAGGATAGTGAAATTTTGTAAAGAAATGCACACAGACCAAGGAAAGCTTTCAGCGGTTGTAATCCAGGCACACAGACCAAGGAAAGCTTTCAGCGGTTGTAATCCAGAGTAACAAAAGTAGAGTATAGAAAAGTGATCTAAACAACATATCACTAGTCAAACTAAGATATTCTTTAATGCTAGGAATTAATTCAAGAATAGCTACTTAAAGGCATCGTAAACAATTAACAAAATGACTTAGTTTTTATTTTCCTTGGACAGTTGCAGAACTGCTAGTCTTTGGAAAATGAAACTTTACATTTTATCCAAAACAAACCCACACCCCACTCCCTCTTCAAAATGTAAAAAAAAAAAAAAAAGGAACAGCTACTTAAAACATATACCAAAAGCAATCAAGGCATATGACAGATTACGGAAGCATGCAGACATATGAAAACA